AGCTGGATCAGAAGCAGAGCAGCCAGGACTTGAAGTGGCGCTCCAGTGTGGGGTGTCAGTGCCGCAGGCAGCAGCTTAACCCACTGTGCCACAGCGCCAGCCCCAGCTCACGGGGCTGCTGAAGGGTGCAGAGGAGGCCACTGCTGAGGAGTGCACTTCGTCTAGAAAGGCCACTGCTCCATCTCAGCCACTCCCTGCCAGCAAGTGCAGGATGTCACAGAGACGCCGGGGCACACCACGGGGATGCTGGGTGAGGTCCCTGCCCTGAGGGACCTGCCAGTGTAACCCATTCTCCTCCCTTACAGAGCGTGCGGTTATTGGCCAGTGACTTGCAGAGGGTCGACATTGCACAGCTGGACCCAGAGGCCTTGGGAAACATTAAGAAGCTCTCTGTAAGTCTCAAGTTCATCTCCACACGTAGTATGTCTCCAGTAGCTTTCTAGGGGCAGCTCTCCCTGGGGTCGGGGCTAATACTTAGAATCCTGCTGCCTTCTTTGCCTCAAGGGGTTTTTCAACTGTGACCCTGCTGACACTGCAGCAGTTCTGTCCAGGTGAGGCTGAGTTTGGTGCCTGCCCTTGGCATTTCTCCAGCACACCTTTGCCGCCTCTGTGCGTGTGACTTTTTCCGCAGGGAACTTGGTTCTACTCCCTCAACAGTGATTTGCACCTGGCTTTGGGGAACCACACCTCCAGCTCTAACTCTGTCACTCTTTGGAGAACCACACCTCCAGCTCTAACTCTATCACTCCAGTGTCCAGCACTGTTTGGCTTGCTGTCTGGACATAAGTTCTCAAGAGAGGATTGAATTGACTCAGCTTGACTCAGATAAACATCCCAGGTCCAGTCAGCTATGGTCTTGGGAGGCAAATGGGAGTGCTTAGAACATGCATGACTGCCACAGGCCCACCCTTCTGTGGGGTCTGCGAGGGGTACGTCCACGGAGGGGGACAAGGGCAGAGCTGGCTTCCCAAACCCCAGCCCGGTGCCAAGGTCCCACGCATACCCAGCTGCCCAGCTCTTGCAGCAGTCATCCTGTAGCCGGGCCCAGGGCATCGCTGTTCCCAGGTGTGCCTTCCTGATCTCATCTGAGCTGTTGCTCTCCTCCTTTGTGCAGGCGAGAAGCTGAGTTGCAGAAAGGCCCATTCATGTGTGGCACAAACAGAGAAGAGGGGCTGAGACTCACTCAGACCGAGTGGCTTTTAGCCCGAGTGCCAAGTGCTTGTGTTTGAAGTGACCCATCTGCTTTGCTTTTAGAGCCGTCTCGCCCAAATCTGCAGCAGCATCCGGACCCACAAATGAGAAGGCGGCAGAGCCGGACCGGGCGTAGCGCGACCACTGCGGCAGGACTCGGAGGTCTCCCCTCTTCCTCCCCCTCCCGTGGGGGCACTGCGTGGGCCCGCAGCACCTCTCACGTCCTGTGCCCAGTCGTTCTTTTCAGGATGACTTGTGGAACAGTTTTTGTGTTTATCCTGTTTATCGAAGACCAAAAATTGGCTTGGAGGCAGCTTCCATGTCTTGCACGTCTACCTCTCCAGTTAGTTGGAACGTGGACAAAGGGACTGTAGACTTAGCATCTAGGCTAAATCTACATGTGTGACTGGCCGCAGAGTAACTGTCCCTAAGCTCTCTGAGGCCCAGTGGTCGCTGCAGGGTGGATGGACTCTGCAGAAAGCACTTCTCTCGTAGGGGGCTCCTGGGGGTGGGGGGCACGTGTGACTTGTGTGGTGGCCTTGTTCCGCATGTTTAGTCTGTGCCCTGGACACAGGTGAATTCTGCCCCAAACTGTCCTGGGCTGGGTTCCCAGGATTTGGGAGCCAGGGTTCTCCCACAGGCTTGGAAGCACAGTTTCCCCTGGGAATGGTTTCTGTTATTTTAGGACATGATCAATCTAGTGATGCAGCCCTGTGCAAGTCGAATCGTTTTTAAGTTGCTTGTTCTCCTTTTCCTGAGACTTCTGTACACACTGTTTTCCTGAGTGATGGTATCTTGATGGTTTTAATCAGAGCTTCTGAAAGGTACCTGCTTTCAATAAATTCTGGTTTGGTTTTTTTAATCACTCATCAGCCTGCCTGCCATCTTGCAGCTGTGCTACCTGGACTGGAGTGAGAGTCTGGGGACAGCTGCTGTCCTCAGGAGCTGAGGCAGCATCTCTTATATCTGAACGGGGACTCACGCCAAGTTCCAGTAACCTCAGCCCCTAAGCCGGTCTCCCAGCACCTCCATCCTGGGGGCTAGAAATGTACACACAGGACAGAAACCAGGACACCACAGTTAACCTGTACAGCGAGGTCTCGGCGGCCAGGAACAAAGCAGGGGCAGGCGTCAGCGATCCTGCTTCTCACTTCCCAGAGTCCCAGGGGCCCTGGCAGAAACTACCTATGTTGAGAACACTCAGCACGGACCTCAAGTGGCAGAGGGCTCTGCCTGAAAGACATCCTGGAGCTGGGACTCAGCCAGGTTGCTGAATACAGTTTGGAGCCCTTCTGGTCAGCCAGCATTTGGAGGAAAGGTTACTGCCTGCAAAGCAGCAGTCCCGCCTACAAGTCCCCACACCTGAGGCTTCTACCTGTCCCTCCATTCTTAAGGGGCAGCTTTTAGAAGAGCCTGACATTGAGGAAACACTTAGAACCCAACCAGCTGCGCCCAGATCCAGGTTCACCCTGGCTCACTCAACTCACAGCTCTGCCCAAGTCAAGCCAGCTCGAGGAAGTGTGTGGTATGCAGCAGGCGCCTACCAGACACTCCTGGGACTGAGACCAGGCACTTCATTCCACAGGAGGGGCTGATCTGGAAGGTAAAGTTTCCATTCCAGGATTTTTAGAAATGGGCTGAATGCTGTCAGGGCTGGAATGTCACAAAGGAAACTCCAGTCTTACTGTCAGCCCACAGATTTAGTCTCCCCCTCACTGTTTAGGTTGGGTTCGGATTTTTTTGGTGGTGGTGATTTTTACTTTCAGATTTACTAACAATGTCAAAACTGGGAGACTGCACAAACCCTGACTGCTAAAAATGAGATTGGCAGCTCAGGCCCCGGTCAGCTGGGGCTGAGTAGCAGCTTTTGTTGGCTTCAGAGTCCTCTTCCGGTTCAAAGCAGTCGCTGTGAGATCTCTTCTCTTCTTGATGTTACCTGGCTCACCCCTGTGGGCCATTCAGTCTGTGCCGTCCACTGCGGGCGTGAAGTAAATCAAAGCAGTGGGAGGGAGGATGGGAGTCGAGTCCTCTGTCCCCAGGGCCCCTGAGAGTTTCAAGGAACCCCACATCTCACATTCAGAGGAACATGGTAAGCACCCTTCTCAGCTAGAGTTCTGATCCCATTTGGCCCAGTGAGTTAGTGCTCAGGTGGTTCCAAGCAGAGGGAAAGAAAGCCATGCTATTGATTGCCACACCTCCTTCCAATCCTCTGCGCCGACTTCCCATGGCCTGAACCATGCGGCCTGTGAATGGGGCAGCCCAGGCCTGGGAGAGAAGCACTAGTACTAGCCAGCAACCAAGAAAGGCAGGGCTCCAGCAGAGAGAGAGAGAGAGAGAGTGTGTGTGTGTGTGTGTACATCTGCTGCAGCCACAGGCACTCCTCAGCTCAGCCCTCTGCCCTGGTCGTCATCTTAGCCCACTCTTTCTCCAGCATTCCCCATGATTCCCAACTCCAACCCCAAACCTCCCATCTGGCTTTGCTCCCCCCGCAATTACGGTCATTGTTATGGATTGAACTTCATATGTGGGAATTCTAAGCCCCTGTAAATCAGAATGTGACTGTGTTTGGAGAGCTGATTAAGCTTAAATGAGCTTGTTAGGGTGGGCCAGCCGGAGACCATCCGATGTGACTGCTGGACCTAATGAAAGGGGAGATGCAGACAGACTCAGGGAAGAGGACGTGAAGACATTGAGAGAAGACAGCACCTGCAAGCCACGCCTGGGGAGGCCCTTCCCTCCCAGCCCTGGGAAGCAGCCAGGCCTGCCAACACCCTGATCCTGGACTATGAGATGGTTCCTGCTTGTTACACCGACCCTAGCAGACTAACACTGTCATGGACAGCGTCCACCTGCTCTGCTCCATCCTCTAACCACCTGGTTCGTCAGAACTGAACATCAAAGCAAGCTCCTGTTGGGGCTGTGACGCCTGACTCCTTTCTGGCTTCTCCCACAGCTGCTCTCCTTTAGCCAGGTGCCTTCGGACGTAGTGCTGGAGTGTCTCCAGGGCTCCCTCTCGCCCTCGAGCTGCCGGGGTGACCTGCTTCCCACCGGTGTGCCCAGGGCTCCAGGTTCCATACCCAGCTGTCTCTACCTCCACTGTGGGGAGCAACTCGGACTAGACTAAGTTACTGGAATTAAGACTTATTCTATGCATCTGCTCTCCCACAATATGGCGCTGGGAGAGAAGAAAACAGCTTCTACACAGCTGCCTCCAGTTCAGCCAATAAACTGTAGGACTTGCTCCTGATTGGAGAGCAGCGTACTCGGCGTGTGGGCAGCCGAGTTGGGATTGGTGGAGGAGGACTATAAAGGAGGAGAGAGACGGCATGCACCAGGAACATCTAAGAGGAATATCTAAGGGGAACACCTAAGGGGAACACCTGTGCAGCCCCCGAGAGAGCCGGCCGGTGGTGTGCCGCTCCCCTGCGGAAGTGGGGAATGTGGCAGGGGGAACCGCCCTTCCACGGAGGTGGAAGGGACAGTAGCCAACCCGGGAAGAACCAGCAGCAAACCTGGGGAGGGCCGAGCAGACCAAAGAACAGCGCAGGGTCCTGTGTCGTTCCTCCACGAAGAGGGGGAGCGACATAATGGTGCCGTGACTCGGATATGAAGCCTAGGCAGGGTTTTGTGTCGTTCCTCCACGAAGACAGGGAGCGACACTCCACATCCCACAGCGTCTCAAATGTGTGTCCCAACCCCAGCCTGTAGCTTCCTGCGCCCGCCCCTGTGTATTGTCGGCTCTGGATGAGAGGGTGCCTACATCCTCCCACACAAGTCACTCGAGAATAAAGCAGCTGTCACCCCAGAGGCAGCACGTCACAGACAAGTTTTTATTACTTTGTCCTGGACATAGAACCCAAGAAATATAAAAACATCTCTAGGATTAGTCCAAGGAACCATCCCCCCACCAGTGGTCCCCTCCCTCACTGGGTGGACTCAGATGGGGGTGGTGGGGTGGGGGGTGCAGGCCACCTCCCTCTGTCCAGTGAACAAGTTCCATATAAAAATAGATCTATAGAGGGCTCGCCGAGAGCCATCACCCTGCATCTCGCCAGCGCCTGTGCGGGCTGAGGCCTGGGGCCCTTCAGGATGCTGGGACCTCGCTCCTCGGTGGAGGGGAGATCTACCCTGGACGCCGAAGTCCTGCCTACACAGCCAGGGCCCCTCCATGCGACAGCTGGAGGCCTTTGACCCTAAGAGAACGACTGACATTGCCGGAGATGGGAGGGAGGCTCTGTCCACCCAAGACAGGACACAGGCCCCTCTGTCCCCCTGGATGCTGGACCAGGCTCCCAGGAGTGGGTGGGCAAGGCAGGGCCTGCAGGACACCTGGCAGGAGCCCCCCCGCACCCCCCCCCAATCCTGTCAAAGGTGAATCAATAGCTTGGTCTGTCCTGGTACCCTCAAAGTCACTGAGCTGGGGGCAGGGGAGGGGTGGCAAAGGCACTGCTGAGTCACCGGCCCCTCCCCAGGGATGCGCTGCCCCTTCCAGCCCCTGGCACGGCATCTGCTGAAAACTCCACCACCCAGGGAGAGAACCTACTCACCTCCCACCTCAGCTAAGCCTGTCTGTTCACCCCTCCCCCAACACGCAACTGACCTAGAGGGCGCCCCGTGTTACCCCCTGGTCCTGAGCTCATCTCCCCGCCTAGTCTGGGCCTCCCAGGGCACGCCCTCTGCCTCCCACACCTCCTTCCTCCACCCTTCAACTCCTCCCCAGCCCACCCCACACCACTGCCCGCACAGCCAGACTGCAGCAGGTATCTGTCAGAGTGAGCCAGGCCCTGTCCAGACCCAGCAGCCTTCCTACGACCCCCCCACAGCCCTGGTCTCATGGTCACCACTGCTGCCAGGGGCCGCCTGGATAAAGAGCTCTGGAGTCGGCCACAGAAGCCAGAGGGAGGAGGTGCCCTGTGGGAGGATAGCCGTGCCCAGGTGTGGAGCTGGTCACCTCCAAGGTGATCCCTGGACTGCCTCTGGGAAGACCGTTGGTGCCACTGGGCAAGACTGGGACTCTGCCCAGAGCCAGCCTTGTCCCCGGATTGGGTTCTGCCTCCAGCTCTGGCCAGCTCTGGGCCTCAGTTTCCCCATCTGTACAGTGGGGGTTAGTTCATCCTATTAGAGACGGAAGACCCATCTCTGAGAAACCTCTCTCCATCCCCAGGCTGGACAGCAGAGCTCTTGGGTCCTCAGGAAGAAGCTATGTCCCTTTACACTCTTCCCCCACATCTGGGCCACTGAGTTCATAAAATGAATGCAAATGGGGGGCCCTCATGGGGCCCCAGGGGAGCACCAGGACCTTGCACGGCCCAGACAGGCCCCTGGCCCTTACTCTGAACTGTCAGCCCAAGGGAAGGGAAGCAGTCAGCTCCTGAGTCTCAGGCCCTTGGGGTCCAGCCCCGGAGCTCAGTGCCACCTTTGCCCTCCTGGGCCTTGGGCCAGTGTCCAGACAGGCCCCAGCCAAGGCACAGGGAGCTAAAGACGCTGCCCCTGTGGCCCAGCCTCCCTCGCCTGGGATGCTAGGCAGCTGTGGTCGCTGCCAGGTCAGATGAAAGCCCCTTGGTGGCCCATGCTGTTGGACTGGCCAGTGTGTCTAGAAAAGGGGCAGGTCCCAGACCCCAGCAGGTGGGAAAGACAGAGGGCACAGGGCAGGGGGCAGCTTAACCTCGGCCACCTTCCCTCCATCCCTGCCCCTGGATTGCCTCTGCTGTCAGCTCCCAAGTCCTCCCCAGGGTCCTGAACCTCTTTGCCAGGGGCACCAAGTCAGCCAAGATGTCCAGAGTGGAAATGAAAGGAGCAGCCAGTGAAATGCGGGGATGCCGTGGCTCCAAATCAGCTCTGGGCCCAAGAGGAGGGGGAGCGCTCACTCCCACCCAGGCAGAGTGCAGCGCCAGGTCCCTGGGGCAGGGCTGGGGGTCTGCACTCCCACAGGGGCCCGCTCACACCTGCACCCCCTGGCCCTGCAGCTGCAGGACTCGGGCCCGCAGGGCGCTGATCCCGCTGAGGAGGGCCTCTCGATGTTCTGCCGAAGAGATGCCCAGGCTCGTCAGGTCCCTGGAACGAGGGCTGCTCAGGCCCAGCCGGCTCGCCCCAGCCCCTGCTCCTCCCGCACGGCCCTCTGCTCTCCCTCCCCTTCTCTGGACCCAGACCCAGGCCAGGCAGCAGAGGCAGAGCCCCTGGACTCCCCAAGCCCTGGCCTTGACCCTGGTTCCTTAGACTCACTGGGCAGTCATCTCGGCCACGGCCTCCAGGCTCCCGTAGCCAGCGGCAGTGAAGCTGTCCTTGTAACGGCACAGGTCCAGGGCCTCCAGCCACGCACCCACGGAGCCGAAGGAGGGGAAGGTGGAGAAGGCACGGTCGGCCAAGGGGGTGGGAGGCCTGGAGGTGGGAGGAGCTGTGGTCAGTCCATGGCTAGGGTCTGGTGTCCATACCTTGCTGCTCCCTAGAGGGGAGGCCAGCCCAGAAAGGGCAGGGAAGCAAATGGAGCAAGGATTGATTGGGCTCCTGTGGGGGCCATGCATTCCCGGGAAGGGTGAGGCCGCAGGGTAACCGGGTGGTTGGGAAGCTGAGCCAGTGGAAGGCACAGGGGTACCGGGAATAGTCGGAGGGTGGAAAAACCAGGGACAGGCTGCAGGGTGACCCAGAGTTGCAGCAAAGAATACTCATGTCGCCTCTTTTCTTTATGGGAACTAAAGTTCCAACCAAGTGTTAGGGCCAAAGTGTTAGGAACTGAAGTGTTAGGACCCCTGCCACACGTGTTCACCCAGGCAGCATTCACGATGCTGGGAACAGGGGCAGGGTCCAGGACCAGAAGTGACTGCGGCACGTGGGGGGGGGGGTGAGCTGAGGCAGGGGCACCTGGGTGGCTGAGGGGGGCCAGTGGGGCAGCTGTACCTGGGACACAATCTAGCCCACCGGGCTGGGGAGAGAAGGGAAGGTACCTGGCACAGGGGGCCGCAGCACCCTTTGGGGGTTCAGGGTCCTGCCCCATTCTGCTCAGGAGGCTATGGATCTGGGAGAACCTGGGCCGCTCCCCGGGGTCCTTCTGCCAGCAGTCAAGCATGAGTCGGTGCAGTGCAGAGGGGCAGTTCCTGGGGGGTGGCAGCCGGAAGCCATCCTCCACAGCCTTGATCACCTGGGCCGAGGGCAGGGAGCAGACCGGAAGCTTCAGTCTCCCCAACACACGCACACAGACACACACACACACACACACACACACACTATGGTGGAGAGGATACTGGGTGTGGCCAGGGAGGACCAGAAATAAAGAGAAGAGGAGGTCAAGGGTCCATAGGCAGAGGGCAGTGAGCTGGGGCCCAAGGTCGGAGGGTAAGGGGACCAGAAGGCAAGGACAGGAGCCATAGGGCACTCACGTCTTGGCCAGACATGTCCCAGTAGGGTCGCTCCCCAAAGGCCATCACCTCCCACATGACGACACCGAAGCTCCACACGTCACTGGCAGAGCTGAAGTGGCCGAACTGGAGCGTCTCGGGGGCGGCCCACAGCGCCGGGCTCCGGCCACTCTGCGCAGGGCAGGAGAGCAGGGCAGAGAGGAAGTGAGGCACCCCCATCCTCCCGGCACCCTGACTCCCAGCTTCACCCCGGGAGGGCACACGGCCGACCTCTGGGCGGTGTCCACTCTGACAAGGATTGGGGACCAGCTGTGTGGGGTTGGGGGGCAACCCTGACAGCAGGGAAGGGTAGGGGGAGGTGGGGACTCCAGGGAGCTTCGTGGGGACAGCTGGACTTGGCAGGGAGGGCGCCCTCACCATGGTGGTGTACACAGCCTCCGCTCGGTCCCGGGGACCCCGCCCGAAGCCGGAGATCTTACACAGGAGGCCGGGGCTGACCAGCACGCGGCGGGCCGCCAGGCCCCGGTGAACGTAGCCCATCTCCGACAGATACTTCATGGCTGACGCCAGGCCTGGCAGCAACCCCATCAGCTGCCCTGCCACCAGCTGCCCCTCGTGCTGCTGCAGAGAGGGGAGACCGAGGCCCGGGCTGTGTCTGTGGGGCTGTGACCCCAGGGAAGCCACTCTGGACTTCAGTTGGCTCTGTGCCGACCAGGCCAGGCTGGCAGTGTGCATGACACCAATTGCAAGCCCCTCCTAAGAGACATGCTGGGGACAAGAAAAAGGCGGCCAACAGGACCCCCAGGTCCCAGGCCACTCACCCTGAGGAAGTCATCCAGGGCCCCGTGGCTCATGTACTCGGTGACAATCATCAAGGGACTTCCTGTGCGTGGGGATGGGGACACACACATGCTAAGTCGCCCACCCTACCCTGAGGCACACACATTCCCCCCTACAGGGGCCCCCAACTCGGCCAAGAGAGCCAGAACCAAAGCCATGCTCCCTAACCTTGCCACCCTCCTGCCCACCCAGTGGCCTCCCTGGGCCACAGCCCAGAACCAGAGGCCTCCGTAGGGGATAAAGGCAAAGAGCAGGAGCTACACCCAAGGTCAAAGTGGTTGACCCAAGGTCAAAGTGTCACTACACGTCAGAAGGGTCACTCGGGGTCACAGTGGTCGTTTCAGAGAGGGAGCTGCCCTGAGCTACCGAGAGCAAGCTCAGTCCTGGCGAGGCCCCGACCCACGGCACCCCACCTCCCACCCCCCCGGGGCTGTGCCTACCCCGCGTGACAACGCCCTCCAGCCGCACGATGTGGCTGTGGTCGAACTGGCCCAGTGTGAGGGCCTCTGCCAGGAAGCTGAGCCGCTGCGAGTCTGAGCTGCCTTCCCTCAGCGTGTGCACGGCCACAGGCAGCGCCTGGCGGCCCGGCAGCTGCAGGCAGCCACAGCACAGCTCCCCAAACCGCCCTGTGGGGAGACAACACCTCAGAGCCCCGCTGGAGGCCACCACCCAATGGACGGGCTGAGCCCAGGGAAAGGCACTCGGTGGGTCATGGCCGCTTCTGGCCTGGACTGAGTTCCTGAGTTCGAATCCCGGTAGAGCGAGGCCCAGCAGCGTGGCCTCAGGCTCCCTATCGGGCCCATTCTCTCTCTCTTCTGAAAAGTGAGGATTCTTCTCCGTCTGCCTCTCCAAGGGTTTCCAAGCCTCTACGTGAGGACGTCGTGTGTGCCAGCACATCAAAGGCCATTGGCCCCCGGGGGAGTGACCACGACTCCCATCCTGCCCAGCATCCGTCCAGTGAGTCTGGGGACGTCTGCTGAGGGCTTGTGCCCAGGGAGAAAGAGGAGCAGAGGCTGTCCTAGGAGCCAGGCCCACGCTGAGGCTGGGAGCCGCCTCCCCCCACCTCCCACATCGGCCCATCTGAGACAGAGTCAAGCCCCTGTTACAGACAAGAAACAGGCTGGCACAAGAGCGGCACAGCCCTGGTCACGCGCCAGGATGAGACCCCAGCTTGCAAAGGCCCCTCCCCACTGCTCCAGGGCCGTCTGGGACCAAGCTTCCGGAGGCCGGCCCTGAAAGGGTCTTGGGGGGAGAGAGGTGTCAGAGCCACCTTGGGGACCAGGAGAGGGGCGCAAGACAAAACCACAGCCCCCTCTGACACCCCCTTCCCTAACATCTGGGGGCGGTAAGGGGGTTCCAGTGGTAGGGTAGGGACGTGGGTGGAGGCAGGCGCGGCCAGGGAGTGGACGCCAAGTTTTGAGAGCAGGCGGGGCTTTTCAGAGGGGGCGGGGCCTCCGAGGGGGCGGGGCCGGGACCCACTTCCCGGCTGTGCAGCTTGCCTGCTCCGAGGCTCCGCTCCAGCGTGACGCTGTTCGCATCCAGCTCCTTGGCGAACAGATGCACCGCCTGCAGCGGGTCCCCGCAGCTCTGGGGATCCAGGAACGTGCGACGTGTCGGGACTTTGACTGGGAGCGCAAGGAGAGAGATGGGCCTGAGGAAAGGGACCTTTGGCCCGCTGGGGTGGGCAAAGGCGAGACCAGGGGCCCGGCGCCCACAACTCACAGTGGAAGTACAGCTCCTCCTCATCGTGGGCGTCGGCGCCGCCTTTGCCGGAGCTGCAGGGCCTGCGGGGAACAGGGCCGGAGGCACTTTCAGAGCTGCCCCTCCCCCACTCTCCCGGTTCACCAGCTCGTCAGAAAAAGAGCCTTTCCTCCCAGGGAGGGGTCTTCTGGTCCTGCAACTTGGCAACCTCCTCGCCAGGGCCGGGTGCGACCCCGCGTCCCAGATCCCACACACCAAACAGTCCCCCTCCCCACATTCCTCCTGGTCATGCTTGCAAACACGCTGACAAAGCTCCAGGGTCCACACCCCTGACTTGGAGTGCCAAGCTGCCCCCCACCAGCCTGCAGTAGGTGGCAGGGCATGAAGAGAGGCTCAATGCGAGCCCCCTGGGTCCGAGCAGGGGGGAGGAGCCCTGGCTCCTGGACACTTAACTGACCGCGCCGGCCATCAAGGGCAGATTCCCGACACAGAGGCCGCCGTGGGCAACAGAGACACAGGCTGGCCTTTGGGGCCCCTTTGGTTTCTATTCTGGAAGCAGAGGAGGGCGAGGCCCCCGTGGCTGTGAGAGACAGGGCCCCACCGCGCTTGGAGACTGCTGGAGAACTCTGTCCGGCAGAGTTCATGGGTGTCAGGGAGACAAGTTCATGGTCAGACTGTGAGGAAGAGTCGATGAGCAGGGAGTTGGATGGTATGGACTGTGCGTGTTTGGGAGTGTGTCTGGGGTACAGGTGTGGGTGTGGCTGTGTGGTGTGTGCATGGGGGATGTGTGTGTGGTGTGGATGTGGGGGGTGTAGGTGTGCAGGGGGATGTGTCTGTGCTGTGGGTGTGCATGGGGGATGTGGCTGGATGCAGGGTGTGTATGTGTGCGGGGGAATATGTGGATATGCATGGGGGTATGGCTGTGTGGGGAGTGTGTGTGGTGTGGGTGTGCATGGGTGTGTACATAGGGAGTGTGGGGGGATGTGTGCATGTGCATGGAAATATGGCTGTGTATGGGGTATGCATGTGGGTGTGGCTGTGTAGTATGGGTGTCACTGTATGTGGTGTGGGGGAATGTGTGGGTGTGCATGGGTGTGTGGGTGTGCATGGGGAGTGTGTGTGGTGTGGGTGTGCATCAGGGGTGTGGCTGTATGTGGTGTGGGGGGATGTGTGGGTGTGCATGGGGAGTGTGTGTGGTGTGGGTGTGCATGGGGGCGTGGCTGTGTGGTGTGGGTATGCATGGGGATGTGGGTGTATCTGGAGCCTGGAAGAGAGGACTGCTCTGAGGACAGAGCATGGCCCAGGGGGAGGAGGTGGGGAAGAGGCACTGGGAAGACGACTCCACCTTGAGAAGTTGGGTGGAAGACAAGGCGGCCATGGGGGAGAGACCAAGCAGAAAGGGAACCGAGGCTATGCCATGTCCCCGGGACAGGGAGGAGAAAGTAGAGAGGAGAGGGCTGGTGGTGCAGGGGCAGTTTGCAAACACAGAGACACACTCCCATCTAGACAGCGGTGGGAAGGGCAGAGAGCCGCTGTGTCCTGCCGCAGTTTCCTGCAGCACCTTGCGTCCGAGACCCTCCACTCAATAGCAGTGGGACTTGGCGGCTCAGCTTTCTCTTTAATAAAATCGGGATAAAGACGGCCTGCGGGACAGCACCATTGCAGCAAAGAGCTTCCTGTGAGCGATCCTGTGCCAGAGAAGGCGACCTTGTGAGTAGTAATGGGTTCCTAAGGCAGCAAGAAGGGGTGGGGCTCAGTCCTAGGTAAAGGGACTGTCCCGGCTAGGGGAGGGCACCCCCTCTGAGACAAGGAGGAAGATGGGTGCAAGGCGGGCAGGTTTGCTTGTGGACTGCATGGTGAGAAGTTGAGGTGCAAAAGCTGTTCCTGCCAGAGGACAGTGAGCACAGCTGGGTGACAGTTGTGGGGGTGGGGCAGCCCAGAAGGATGGCCAGGAAGGGAGGCGGGACAGGAGAGAAGTCCTTGCAAATACGGGAGTCAGAGAACCAAGAGGCAAGGGCTGGGACCGGCTGTCCAGTGGCCACTGAAATTGCCCAGGAGGTGTCAGGACTTCTGTGGGTGAGGGGGAGCCTCCCGGAGAGACGGGTGCAGATGAAGGGGTAAGGCTGAGTGGATGGAGGAGCGACAGAAGGTGCGTGGTTAAAAGAGAGTCAGGGCCGGGCATCGTGGCACGGGGCACTAAGCCACTGCTTGTAACACCGCCATCCCTTAACAGAGTGCTGGTTTGCGTCCTAGGTGCTCCACTTCCTGTCCCACTCCCTGCTAATGCACCTGGAAAGGCAGCAGATAGGGGCCTAAGTACTTAGGTCTTTGCTACCCATATGTGAGACCCGGATGGAGTTCCTGGCTGCTGGCTTTAGCCTGGCCCAGCCCCAGCTGCTGTGAGTATTTAGGGAGTGAACATGTGGATGGAAGGTGTCTGTCATTCTCTCGCTCTTTTCTGTTTTCAAATAAGTAAATAAAATCATTTTTAAAGAGAGAGAGAGAGAGGGCTGGCGCCACGGCTCACTAGGCTAATCCTCTACCTTGCAGCGCCGGCACACCAGGTTCTAGTCCCGGTCGGGGTGCCGGATTCTGTCCCGGTTGCCCCTCTTCCAGGCCAGCTCTCTGCTGTGGCCAGGGAGTGCAGTGGAGGATGGCCCAAGTGCTTGGGCCCTGCACCCCATGGGAGACCAGGATAAGTACCTGGTTCCTGCCATTGGATCAGCACGGTGCGCCGGCCGCAGTGCGCCGGCCATGGCAGCCATTGGAGGGTGAACCAACGGCAAAAGGAAGACCTTTCTCTGTCTCTCTCTCTCACTGTCCACTCTGCCTGTAAAAAAAAAAAAAAAAAAAAAAAAGAGAGAGAGAGAGAGAGAGAGAAGCAGATGCTTCCATGGGACCATGGGACCTAGTGAGCAGCAAGCGCACAGGACAGACGGGGGAGTGGGATGCGAGGGAACCATGGCCCAGCGTGAATGGTGCAGATACATGGAGCGGGGATAGGGGGCAGCTCAGCAGTGAGCAAGTCGGAACCCAGCGCCAGCTCACTCTGCCTGCTCCCGTGCCCTGTCCTGCAGAGCCTCTGCCCCGAGGAAGTGCTCCCTGCTCGCTTCTCCTCCTTTCCTCCTCTGCCTCCCACAGCCCCTTGCTCAAAGCCAAGACTAGACACGGCAGCTTCCGGCCATCCCCTTTTCCTCTCCCTCCCCCGGTCCCGCCATCCTGACTCCCCTGGTCCAGGCAGAGCCGGCTCCCAGACTGGCGGGACCGTGTCCTCTCCTCCTTGGTCACTTTCAAAGCCCCGGTGGGGGCCCAGCAACAAGCCAAGGCCAGACCCAAGCTCGTGCTGCCTCCAGCCCACAGTCGGCCGTGCTGGGCTGCGGGTCCCCACCCAGCCATTTCTCCCCTCCGCTTCCCTGCTCCAGCCCAGCTCAGGCAGCCTTCCGCCCTCCCCAGTCTGCTGAGCTCAGCCCCGGCCTGCTGCCCCTGGCTGCCTCTGCACGGGAGGAGAGAGAGATGCCACGGGGCCTCTGCTGCGTGTGAAAGAACTGGAACCTTCTCTCGCCCATATTCGCCCCGACACAAGCACCACGCGACAGCTCCTCTCTGCCTTTTCTCCTACAAGCTGCCTTCTGCTGGGGTGGGGGTAGGGGTGAGGGTGGGGGTTCTGGTTTATGAATCTCCCTCCCTGCCCAACACACACACATGCACACTCACACAACCTGCCTTTCTTCCCTTTGCCCGTGTTTAAGGGCCTCAAGATCCCCTGAGGGCAGGGGCTGGGGGGCCTCCGTGCTCGGGAGAATCCTAATCGCACCAGAGCAGCCGGAGCTCGATCCCACCCCCAGTGATGCCTTCTGACATTTAATGAGTTAAGGAGCTAAATCCCTTTTATCCCAGAGTGGCTGAGCCAGCTGCAGGGCTGGCTGCTGCAGGAGCAGAGGGGGAGGGGCCGGGACCCTCTGTGCCCAGATCCATGGAGCAGTGTGCTGTGTGTGCAGAGCAGGTGCAGACACAGGTGCCTGGGAGCACGTTAATGTGCACAGGAGTAGGACTCCCCCCACCCCAGTCCCCAAACCCAGGCTGGGACCAGCCACCTACCTCCTCCAAACGGCCAGCACGCTCATCACGGAGCCCAGGACAAGGAGGGCTGAGATGGTCACCACGGTGACAACAACTGCTGGGCTCTGGTCCCTGGGCCCTGAGGCAACTGGGGGTGGGGGGAGAAACCATGAGGCTGAGGAAGGCAGAGGACCAGGCTCGTGGGCAAGCCCCACAACAGACCCCTATCCTCACCCCGTGGCAGGATTCCCTCGGCTTCTCTGCACCCATTGCTGCCCCCAGCAGCAGCAGCCCCACTGACCAAAGTGGCACTGGGAGTCCAAGCGCTTCCTCTGCTCCCAGGACAGGGCACTTTCCGGGCACCCCAGTTCCGAGGGAGCAGAGGGGTACAGGCAGGCAGGGGCGGGCCTCCCTACTGCCTTTCCAACGGGTAAGCGGAGATTGACAGGGGCTCGGGGTTGGGGGGGTGGTGGTCTGCAGTAAGAGGAGCTACCATTACATGCACATTTAATCCACTCAAGACACCGTGCTGCGTGCTTCATCATCAAGACAGTCCAGTAGGATGTGGCTTGTGGCTGTCTCCATTTTCAGGCAGAGACTGGAAAGAGTTATATGATCTGCCCAAGGTCACATAGCTAATAAGTGGTGAGCCCCTAAGACTGGAATCTGACTCCAAACGCCTCTCCCGGACTCCCAAGTCTCCGCTCTGAACCATTTCCCCAAGAGAGGGCCCCAGAGCCCACTCCCTCAGCCCATCCTTTGGTCCATCCATCCCTGGGAACACCGTGTGAATGGACGGGAGTCCCTGTCCTGAAGGAGTGCAAAGAGCAGGAAGCTGGGGAAGAAAAACAAAAAATCCAGGCTATAGAACAACAACAACAAAGAAGCCGAGGCTGGGCCGAAGCACGGTAATTGCTTCCCAAAACCAGCGAGAAGGCTTCCTGGAAGCCGTGTCATCCACACTGCGCCTGCAGGTTGAAAAGGCTTCCGAGGCGGCTCAGATGCACCTGCTGGGAAGGAAAATGGCAGGTCAGCCCATGTGGCTGCAGAACAGACTGCATGCGGGCAGAGTGGCGCGGGGTGAAGCTGGAGGGCGGGAGGATGCCAGGAACTGGGAGTGCCAGACTCAGGATGAACCTCATCCTGAGGGTTCCAGGGAGCCAGCGGCTGCAGACAGAGCTCCTGCAAGAGGAGAAAAGGAATGAAGGCGTGTGCTGAGCTGGGAGTGCGGGCGGGGCGAGGTGCCTGAGACAGGTGAAGCTTTGGACGGGGACGAACCAGAGCCGTCTTGAGACTGAACTGAGATGGGAAAATTGCACCTGTGCAGGCAGTCTCAGCACGTGTGGGACAGGAGGGCGACGGCCCCAGCAGGGGACCAGCAGGGCCGGTGCAGGGCATGAGGGTAGCAGAGCTGGGAGCTTTCCCGGCGGAATAACCTGTGGCTGGGTAGAGATGATGTGGGGCCAAGCAGCCCAAGAATCGGAGAGGGACGAAGCAGAGCCAGTGACAGAGACGGAAGAAGAAGGAGGAGTTAAAGGTCAACAAAGCTAGGGCCCAAGAGGGGGCTTCAGAGCCCAGGGTTGCAGGGATGAACAAGGCCCAGGGTCTGGCCAGGGGCAGAAGGGGAGCGGAGCTGTCAGCACTATTGGAAATGGGGCTTCTGTGTAGATGGAGATAGAGAAAGAGACAAAGACGCCTGGGCCCCCCACTCCCTGCTACTCATTCCCTAGCCACACGGGCTGGATCTGGTGGGTTCACTCACTTTTCACAATTCAAATATGGCAAAAGTGACGGGATGTCATTTCCAAGATCAGGTTACAGGACAGTGTGGCTTCTGCCACGGGTGCCCTCTGGCTCTCTCACTAGCTCCCAGTCTGCAAGAATCCAGCTGCTGTGTGGAGCAGGCCCACGGGGCAAGGAACAGCAGGGCGCCTGCAGCAGCCAGCCAGAGCCTGGGTAGGGAGGAGGGAAGGTTCTCTCCCAGTCAAGCCCTGAGCTGCCTCCGGCCCCCTCAACTGCAGCCTGGGAAGAGACCAGGAGCCAACGCACCCAGCACATGGGGCCCACATTCCTGACCCACAGAAACCATGAGATAATGCACACTGGTTGTTTTCACTGCTAAGTGTTGGGCTAGTTTGTTGCACGGCGAGAGATGATGAACACAGTGGTAGAGCACGCTTTCCGATGTGAGTGGGGGAGGCGGGCATTCCGCACATGCGTAAGGTCCTGCTTGGGATGCCTGCATCTCATACTGAGTGCCAGGGTGAGCCTCCTCTCTGCTTCTGATCCCAGCTCTCTGTTAATACCACCCTGGAGGGCAGCAGGGCACGGCTCACTCAGCTTCCTGCCACCCACGTGGGAGACATGGATTGAGTTCTCAGCTCCTGGTTTTGGCCTAGTCCAGCCCTTGCTGTTGTGGGCATTTGGGGAGTAAACCAGCAGATGGAAGGTATCTCTCTCTCTCTCTGCTTTTCCAAGAAAATGAAAATAAATACATACATAGATAAAATTATTTTAAAAGACAGTGTGGCATCCCATATCAGAGTGCCAGTTCACGTCCCAGGTACCCTGCTTCCAATCCAGCTTCTTGCTAATGTGCCTGAGAATCGCCCAAGTGCTTAGGTACTGTTACCCATGTAGGAGGCCAAGGTAGAGTTCCTGTCTTCTGGTGTTGGCCTGGCCCAGCCCTAAGTGTTGCAGGCATTTGAGAAGTGAAACAGCAGATGGAAGATCGCTCGATCTCTCTCTCTCTCTCTCTCTCTCTTTCTCCCCCTCATTGTCGCTCTGCCTTTCATGTAAATAAATTAACAAATCTTTCTTAAAAATTCTGATTTGGGGGTCACAATTCACTGAAAAAAGTGTCCTTCAGGTTAGGTGAACCATTACCCACCCCACAGCCAGGGCCACGCCCCAGTGGGAGGCCGAGGACAGAGCAGTCCCTGACAGAGAGGGACCGAGTTAACAAGAACCCTCTCAGCCCAGCTCAGCTCACAGCCCCAGGTCCTGCGCCCGCCACACCCACCCTGCCAACCCCATGAGCCTTTGTGCAGCCGGCTTCCTCCACCCCAAGTGCCTTCCCTGCCCACCTCCACTTGTTCACAATTTCCCCGGCCTTTGAGACAGAGCTCTAATCTCCTCTCCCCAGCACCTGGCCCAGGTCGGCACAGACAGGCATTGGAGCAAGAAGTGCCGTCTTCCTTCCCAGAACTCAAACTCCCTCAACATTTTATCTCGACCTCCCCTTGGGCTCAGAACTCTTCCTATCTTGGATTAGAGTCGTGTAGCAGGTTGGGAAGAAGTATTATCTTGACAGCTGGTGCCAGAATGCCTCTTAGGGGGGAGCTGCCTTTGTTGGGGAAAACACTTTCATGAGCTGCTCCGGGTAGATAGAGGTGAGATCCTGAGGGCTGGGTCAGCAGCAGGCGGAGCAGCAAAGGAGAGAGCTCTGCAGGCGTCCAAGGGGGGGCGGGCAGGGGAGGGAGGGGAGGGTGGGGGGAGCCACACGGAGCCCTGAAGAGGCTGGAGATGTTTTAGGACCCAGATCGCTTATGCTCAACTTGTGCTTTGTTTTGTTTTTATGGCAGCTTTACGGAGACACAATCCCCGCACCCTACAATGCACCCATCCAAAGCCGCAGGATCTTGTGTTGCTCCAAACCCTGAGGCCTGGTGGGGGAAGGCACCCTGTCCCAGTTTGAGCCTCTCCCACAGCAGAGGGAGAAGCAGAATGGGAGGGAGGAGGAGAATGGGAGGTCACCGCAAGAGGGGACCGCGACGTCCTCCCGACAAAGTGGCAGAGGTTCCGGGGACGGGCCCCGGGGGGAGGCCGACTTTGGCTGAGATGGGGGTTACAGCTGACCCTGAGCCTGCACCTGCCAGCTCCTGCAGCACAGGGATCTGGGGTAATTCCTGTGAGTGAGCGAGCAAGGGCTGGGGGATTCCACACGCGCTCATGTGCTGCAGGTGTGCTGCAGGCTCCCCTCATTGCACACGTAATTCTCCCCCTCTACTCATCCCACGCCCAGTCCCCTGGCCCTTTGCACACGCCACTCACCTTCCCCAGGGGTCTGCACTTCAATGCTGGGGTTGAAGCTCTGGGCCTCCCAGGAGGGCCCCGGGGAAGCCGCCCGGATCTGAAAAACGTAGCGGGTAGCCGGCTTCAGGTTGGTGACGGTGACCGCGGGCGCCCCTGTCTTCACCGTGGAGTAAGTCTGCTCATTCTGACCCTGGAGAGGGAAGAGAAGTGCGATCCCGGCCAGGGCCAGACCCAACCCCAGGAGGACGGTGGGAGAGAAGGAGCAGGCAGGCAGCAGAAATACCCTTAGCTGGGCATGGGCTTGGGTGGGGGCCCTGACCCCAATCATCCTGGGGCAACCCCCAGATTTCTCCCACAGGACCCTTGTCTCTCTCCCCACCACAGGGTCCCACCTCTCGTTGCGTGTGGAGGACAGCCCACCTCTGTGTAGCATGGAGCAGATGCTAGAAAATGGGCCTTGCCCTTGAGGGCTCACTAGGGTTTTCCTTTCCCTTGAGACACAACTGCTTGTTTTGCTTTGTTTCACTGATACAAAAACCGCCCCTGGATAAGCAGCTACGCGCTGGGTCTTGGGTGGAGTCAGCATTTATCTCTCCTTTTTCATAGGTGAGGCCAAGAAAGGGTCAAGGTGACACCTGAAGCCTTTCAGGTCCTGCTTGGTGATCCTGGTCAAGCTGCCCCAACTTGGCCCCAGCACCTCTGCACCGGAGATACTCCTCCCACGATTTCATCTCTGCCCCGCCCCCTGACCTTATCAGAGCCCCTGCCACGCGCCCAGTCCCCAGAAGGGCACCCCTCCCCCTACTTCAGGCATCCTATGGCCAAAGCCGTATAGATGCGGAATTCAGAAATCGGGGCTGGGTGGGTCAGACTGTCCCTTCCATGCATGTCAGTATTGAAACAAGAAAAGCACTGGCCACAGGACCTGTGAGAGGGGGTAGGTTGGGGTGGGGAGGAGGAAGGAGCAAGGCTGCCAGCCTCAGCAGCTAAGTGCTTTGGGCAAGCCGCTCTGCAGAGTGGCCCCGGCTGGTGTGCAGAGGGAAGTTGAGATGAGAAGCATTGTGTGACATCTGTCCAGGCCTAGTGACCAGTCATACTTCCACTTGGTGGGCTCCATGGGAGTTCCAGAAGCCCCTCAAATATAGCTCCTGTTGCATTATCCTCTTTAAAAAAATGTTTTCCCCTTGGGACCGGCATTGTGTGCAGAGCGTTAAGTCACTGTTTAGAACACTGTAATCCCACATCGAAGTGCCACTTGAGTCCCGGATGCCCCGCTTCCAGTTCAGCTTCCTACTAATGCATCTGGGAAGGCAGCAGATGGTGGCCCGAATACTTGGGTCCCTGCCACCCATGTGGGAGATCAGGAGGGAGCTCCTGGCTCCTGGCCTTGCCCTGGCCCAGCGTTGCTGGCTGCAGCCATGCTGGGGAGTGAACCAGAGGAGGAAGATCTTTTTCTGTGTCTCCCTTTCACTCTGTCACTCTACCTTTCAACTAAATAAATAAAGCTTTTAAAATTCTTTTTATTTATTTGAGAGGTAGATAGACAGCAAGAGAGAGAGAGAGAGAGAGAGAGAGAGAGAGAGAGAGAGACTCTTCTTTGCTGAATCATACCCCCAAATACCTGCAACTGGCTGAGGCTGAAGCTGGGAGGTGGGAACTCAGTACAGGTCTCCCTGTGGGTGGCAGGAGCCCAGTGATTAAGCTGGGGGTGGGGAGCAGTTTTTCTGCCAAGGGCCATTTGGATATTTATAACATCATTCGCAAGCCATACAAAATTATCAACTTAAAAATTAGCCTGCTAATCCCATAAGGGCAATGGTCCAAGTCCCAGCTGCTCCCCTTCCAATCCAGCTCCCTGCTAACAGCCTGGGAAAAGCAGAGGAAGATGGCTCAAGTGCTTGGGCCCCTGCTACCCACCTAGGAGACCTGGAAGAAGCTCTTGGCTTCAGCCTGCCACAGTCCCAGCTGTTGAAGCCATCTGGGGAATGAACCAGCAGATGGAAGATATCTCTCTCTATTTCTCTCTCTCTCTCCCCCTGTCTCTCTGTAACTCTACCTTTCAGATAAAAAACAAATTAGCCTGCTACAGACTTACTGAATTTAGAGTCCCTCCCGTGGTTGCCTAGGCAGGTGGGCCTCCTGCGTGGACGCTCCGCACACCTGTGTGGTGATGAGAGCATCGCTGCTGCCTTCTGGGATTTGCATTTGCAGGAAGCTGCAGTAAGGAGCAGAGCCAGGTATTGAACCCAGGCACCGAATACAGGGCCCGGGCATCTTAACCAATAGGCCGAACGCCCAGTAGACACACACTCCCGAAGGGGCTGGGGCCACCCAGCCGGCTCAGTCTTGTACTCTTGGCCTTGCTCTCATCCCGACGTCAGTCAGAGAGTCCTTTCTAAGCCTCTGCTGCATGCCTAGCTCTTTCCCAGTGTCCCTTTTTCGCTGTTGCCTAAACAAGAGGGTCCCCCAGGGCCCCATCCTGGCTACTCTTCCCCTGCATCCTGCTTCATGTCCACCCTCAAAGCCCTCAGCTCTTTCCCTCTGCAGCCCAGGCCTCTCCCTGGCTTCAGACCATCTTCCACCAGGGTGTCATGAGTCCCGTGAATGCTGCATGGGCAAAAAACCAGGCCCACCCCCTCACCCCACGCTGCTCTTCGTAGTCAGTGGTTCTCCATCTCAGCCAGTGGCACCCCCAGCCCGCATCCTCTGGGCACCCAAGTGACCCACCCCACAGGGACTGCTGACTCCCTCCTTCTCCCTGTAACCCCTCCTAACAATCACAGCCCTAAACAGACTTCCGGGAGTTAGAAAGTTAGCCGGAACTCTGAACAGAGATTTCACTTTAGACAATTAAAATAACTGTGTTCAACTGCTTGGGGAAAAAAGTTACCTAATGCAGCAAAGCAGTCCTCCCTGTCACTGGGGGCTGCCTGTATTTGTGACACAGAGAGGGTTGACACTGAAAGAGGAGCCACTTACGTGAATGTCACTTGCATCAGGGTGACAAGCAGCTCTACAGGAGGCTATGTATCACATTTAGAGGAGAAGAGCATCATGGGTTCATTTGTCAAACCATGGCTTAGCTGCAACCATAGGTTGACAATGACTTCAAGGGGTTAGCAAAAACCAGGGTAAGTATTCTGTGGGAATCAATCAGCCACCTGCAGTTCACAGTTGAAAGTACTGCAGTTACTTAATGCATGCCAGGGCACACCCTTTGCATCCAGTAGGACTAATAATAACTTGAACACTTGCCGTTGGGAGAACTGGGTGTTAACACTTGCCAGCACCCCACACCACCTAGCAATAGGCCCCACACTTTGGTAAAATGGGAAGCAGTGTGGTGTTTCTGTGTTCTGGTTCCTGAGAAGGGCTGTGCAAAGGGCAGGGGGAAGGTTCAGACGCGGGATCTGACCCAGCACCCCAAGACAGGTCTTGGTCAACTGTAAGCCGGGGTGGGGGTGGAGATGCAGATGTGGGGGGAGAGGACTGGAGTGCACCTGTGGGAGGAGGACTGGTGGGCACGCCTGGGAAGCAGGAAGAAGGGCATCTGCTGGCAGGAGGGCTTGGGGAAGGGACGGCTCCTGGCTGGCCCCACACTCCACTGACCTTCTCGTAGTAGCGGATCTCGTACTCCGTGCCGTTGGCCCCTGGGGCTCCCGCGGGGATGGGCTCCCGCCACGACAGGGACACGCTCTGGGGCTCCACTCGCTCCCTACGGATCTCATCTTCCTCCCAGGGTGCTGAAAGTAGAGAATGTGGGGTTCTTCACCGGGACAGACTGCGGGGGGGCTGGGGAGGGAGAACAGCCGGGAGCTGGACGCGCAGGGCAGCGGGGTGGGGGTGGGCAGGGTTAGGGCTGAGTGGGCGGGGCTGTGGGCACCAGGGTGTGGCCTGGGGCGGGGTCAGTGAGAGCCTCCTCTGCCCACGGCTTGCACCCCAGCCACCCTCACAGTGGCTGGTTCTTGTCCCCCAGGCTGTGTCTATGTTTTCTATGATTTGGGGACGGGAGGCCAGCGACTTAACTCTCCTCATGGTCTGGTCAATGTGGAAATATGCTCAACAAACTGGAAGTAGAAGGAATTTATCCTCAAAGTAATACAGGCCATACATGAACAGCCCGCAGTGGATGTCACAGTCCGCGGCAAAAGGCTGGCAGCTTGTCCTCCAAGATTGGGACACAGGCAGGGATGCCCACTCTCGCCACTTCTACTGCTAGTACAAGCAGGTCCAGCCAGCGCAGTGAGAGCAGAAAAAGACATGAAAGGAGGCAGCGAATTCAACTCTGCTCACAGATGATGGGATCTTATCTGTAGATAAGTCCCATAAAAAAACTTTGGAACTAATAAACACAGTAAAGTTGCAGGATACAAAACCAATGCACAGAAATCAGTTGTGAGTCTGTACAATGCCAATGAACAATTCAAAAAGGAAATTAAGAAAACGGTCCCATTTACAATAGCATCGAAAAGAACAAAATACTTAGAAATAAACTTAACCAAAGAGGCAAAAGGCTTGTATTCTGAAACTAGAAAATACTGCTGAAAGAAATTACAGAAAATACAAATAAATTGAAGGACATGCTGTGTTTCTGGCGTAGGATGCCTCATATTGTTAAATAACCACGTTATCAAAAGCACTCTGTAAATTCAGAGCAGTGTCTATCACAATCCCAATGGCATTCTGTGCAGAAAGTAGAAAAAAAAAATCCTACAGTTCATATGGAATCTCAAAGCACCATGACTGGTGAGCACAACCGGAAAGCTACAGTAACCAAAGCTCTAGACCAAGGGCACGGGACAGCCAAGTCAGAAGTCCTCACGAGTGGGACCCATGAACTTCCGCCAGGGTCCCACAGCTATGCGACGCGGGGAACAACAGCCTCTTCGCCAAGCGGCCCTGGGAGAGCTGCATCACCATGTGCAAAAGAATGAACCTGGACCCTCCCTTTATGCTGCACACAAAAATCAAACCCAAAATGCATTAAAGACCTAGACAACAGACCTGGAATTGCAAAATTCCTAGAAGAAAACAGAGGGAATGATTCGTGCCACTGGATTTGGCGATGGTTTCTTGAATGTGCCACCCAAAGCACAGGCAACAAAACCAAAAATAGACAAATGGGACTCCATCAAACTTAACAACTTCAGCACAGCAAAGGAAACAATAAACATAGTGAAAAGGCAAGGTACAGGATAGGAAAAAAAAATTACCCCCCATATATTTAAGGAGTTAATATCTGGAGTATA